TGTATTTTGGATTTGTTCTGAGCACAAGGTTGAAAATATAGAAATGTTTTTATTATTGCTGAGCAGTGCTTACACAGAGCCAAGGCCTTTTCTACTTTTCATACTGCCACACTTGCGAGGAGACTGGGGGTGCATGGGAAGTTGGGAGGAGACACAGCCAGGACAGGTGACCCAAACTGACCAAAGGGATAGTCCATACCATATAATATCATGCTCAGTATATAAAGGAGGGGGAGAGGAAGAAGGGGGGGGATGTTTGGAGTGATGGTGTTAGTTTTCCCCGGTCACTGTTACATGTGATGGGGCCCTGTGCTGCTGGAGATGGCTGATCACCTGCCTGCCAATGGGAAGTGGTGAATGAATTTCTTATTTGTGAATGAATTCCTGCTTGTATGTGTGGCTTTTGCTTTCCCTATTAAACTGTCTTTATTGCAACCCATGAGTTTTCTGGCTTTCACCCTTCAGATTCTTTCCCTGATCCTGCTGGTGTGGGAGTGAGTGAGTGGCTGCGTGGGGCTTGGCTGCTGGCTGGTGTTAAACCATGGCAGAATGAATAAAAGGCTACACCAGGGTTTTCAATAAGTAAGCAGGATGGAAGGGCTTTTATTTTGGTAGATTTGAAAGAGAAGAGATGTTGGGCTCCTTCCATGCTCCAGTTCAGTCTTCCTTGATCTCTAATACCTTAACCTAATGTATATGAAGCTTGCATGAGGAGTGCTAAAAGGGGAATGGAATAGTATGCTTTTAGTGTGGTCAATCTCTGTGTGACTAGTTGTCATTTAACTGTTACTTTATCCTTTTTTGTATTAATTATGTTTATTTAGTATTAAAGTTGCAAACTGTTTGCTAGAGCAGCTTCTTATCTGCTGTGTGTCCCTGGTGTAGAGGGTCTTTAGGTGCCAATGTAACATAATCATGTGATATAGCAATAATAGAGAGCTGGGTGGGAAAGACTTTTGATTTCGACTGAGCATTTAAAAAATATGAGCAACATATTTGCAAATCCATTTGAAAAAAAGAAATCAGATTTGTTCAAATGAAACACTTCAAAGTTAACCTGATCAATTATGGGTTGTATTTTTTTTTCTATTTCTGGTATCAATTGAACAAGCAAGGTTTAAAAAAAAAAGGCAGTTATAAATAAAACATTTTGCAAAACCGCAATACGTGGTATGTTGGCAAAATGAAAGCTTTTATTTAAAGTACTTCTAAATTAGAAGATTTTAATCAAATAAGCTCTGACTTTAATTTTTTCACTGCAAAATAAAAGTATTGGCATTTTGAGTCTCCTGTGGCTGTTTACCTACCAAAGCAATCATTAATATAGTTTTCAGAAAGTTCTATTTAATGCTTTTGAGGCTTTGGACCTTTAAGTAGAATTTTCTGAGGGTGCCAAAGCTGGCTTCTCAGCAGTCCGTTGACACTGAGAACATAAGGCCTCTAATTACTTGAAGATTGATGTTGTTACTTAAATACAAATCAACACCATTAATTTAATATAGAGTTGTGAACTGAAAGACACAAGTTGCGTCATTTGTTGTAGAAGCTGAGGCACATGTTGTAACTGTTGGCTGCTTCTGTGAACTGGTCTTCTGTGTGCCCTATTCCACTTTCCATGCAAAAACAGCTGCTTCTGTGGTACTCTTATGATACCTTCACTTTTTTTTTTTGTGTTCTTAGATGATGATCACAAAATGTGTTTTGAGCCTTAGTATGCTCACTGTGTTCACTGTAAATACATGTTCATTTGTATATGTATGCATGTACATAAAAATTGCAAAATTACCTTTTCCAAGCCAGCACCTTGATAGAGTTGTGGTTCTTTCATGCCTGTAGATCTTTCAGGGAAAGGAAGAAGAGGAAACCAGTTGAAGTATATAGGCCATGAAATTCTTAGGAACTGAATTTGTGCAAAGTAGTATGAGGATGGCTAGACACCCTCAGCATTTGCAGTGGACACCTTCATGTTTTGTAGCCAATTATCCCCAGCTTCTCTAGCAGAATCCAGTGGGCAGAGAAACTGGGGAAAATAGAAGTTTTTTCAAAACTGAATGAAATCTGCAGAACTTACTACAGAATCACTAATATTCAGTGTATCACATTCCTTTGTACTGGAAGGCAAATTATCTTCTAGGAATAAAGGATGAAAAAAGAACAGGCAATGAGTGGAGTTGGTAAATAGCTATTGATTTAAAGACACTGGGAAGATAAGAAGAATTGGGAGAGAGAATTGGTAAGCATACAACCTAAGCAGAAGTAAAATACAGAACTTAACGCTGTTGATGTGTAGCATCACAGCATTAAGAAGTCAACCCTGATTTGAGTTTATATATACATTCTATTGGTTTGAACTGTCATTAGACTCTGCAACAAAACACTTTTCCATCCAGGGATTTTATTTTCAACTCTGAAACACTATTGCAAACAGGGAGGAAATCAAATCTAATGAGCAGGGAAAAAAACCCCAAACCAACAATCCACCCTTTTGATTTTTAGCATATTTTGGTAAAAAGGTTCAGTGGCACATTGCATGACAATATAACTAGGTGTACAGAGTGTCTCAGCAATGATGTCTGTATCACTAGTATTACAGGAGCAGTGTGCTACTGAGCACTTCTAAATTAATATAGATTTTCTTCTTTGCAGTATAAGAATACTGTGCAGAATTCTTTTTGTTATTGGTAGTGCTTTCTCTGTCTTACCATTTCTTACCTGTTACCAGAAATATGTCTAATTTTGCAGCCCAAGAGAGTACCAAACCCAATTAGGTGTTGAAGTCCATGCCTGCAGTGATTTATGTCTGGAGTTTGCTCTAGGACTTTATACTGTAACAGGTATTCTGCCCCAGGAAGTATTTTATCAAGTTTCAAGTTTTTCTGTCAGAGCAGGTGTTTATATAAATGAGATCCTTTCAGGTTCCTTTCAGATATGGTGTCTATATGTATCTATATACTCATATGTATGTAGACGTATACAGATATATATGTTTATGTATATTAAAAATACTGGTTGGCTACTTTATAGTTCTAAGAGAAACTTACACTAAGTTCCAGTGTCATTTCAGATCTTGCCATATTCCTTATAGTTTATTCCCAAACAACAGTTCCTGTTAGATCAAAGGCATACAGTGTGCATATAGTTGTGTGTTTGTGTACTGCTGACTGCAGTGACTGTGCAGGGTGAAGTGATGGATAGCATTGCAGTGCTGAGGTAGTTGGTCTGCTGTTTGCCATACTGGTTTGTTGGTTTTTGTTGTTGTTGTTGTTGTTATTTAAATCATAGGGACAACATCAGAGGCACTTCAAAAGGAAAGATGTAAGCCAATGTAATCTTCTTTGTAACTCCACTAACAGCTGTTCACAGAAAGCTCATGGTGCTTCTGTTGTTTGAACACTTCAAGCAGTTTTTTTAAAAGAAGAAAGCAAAAAAACTTTCCAAAATGCATCGGTATTTAAGTAACTCTTTATCCCACTACTGATGGAAGTGAATTGCAGTGTAGAGAGATTGCAAAGAACACTGCTGAATTTTACTTGTTTTCCTCTTTGCCTTGTTCACAGATATTGATGAGTGTGCTGAAGGACGGCATTACTGTCGTGAGAATACCATGTGTGTAAATACACCAGGATCCTTTATGTGTGTTTGCAAAACAGGATATATACGCATTGATGATTATTCATGTACAGGTAAGAACTGTGATAGTCTTTAAGAGCATTGATATGATTCTTCTAAAGTTAGTCTTTGTTCAAGTCACAGAGCATCTAAATGAAATGTTAAACAGAATAGACACCAAAATAGTTACAAAAATACAATGCAGAAAAGCTTATTCATTTTACAGATTATATGTATATCATATTGTTTGCCTGAAATTGTAGGGCAGTCTGGAGTGTTTCATAGTTCTGTGTGGTTTTGGGTGCTGATCAAAAAGGTGAAGGGAGGAGGCTGAAGGGAAAAATAAACAAGCCGAAATAGTACTATGTTTTACTTGGTTTCCATGTTCTATACCAGTTCAACTTGGAGTATAATGACTCCACTGCAAACTTTTGATGGTGTTAAATTTGCATGATGTTAGAAGTGGCTGTGTTGTCCTGGCTCGCTCAGGTTCCCCAGGTGAATCCTGAGGTCAGAGGGCAGGAGTTCTGCTTGCCTTGAACCAGTGGACAGCATGGTTGGTCTTATACCTGTATCATCAGTGGATGCTCTAGGGGAAGTGTTTGGTTCATCCTGACTTTCTGTCTTCTAGTCTTCTTTTATTGCAAGGTATTTTAGGGTTATGGAATGAACACTGAACATTTCAAACAGTCTTCGGAGCCAGGTTGATCCTAAGTGTTCCTGGGAGAATGCATTTTTTCCTTCTAGACAGATAAAGGAAATATGATTTGATGATGTGGCATGTTTTCTCAGTGAACAAAAATACATGTGAACAAAATAGTACCACTATTTTTTTGTGCACAGGGGAACACATTAACTCTTCCTATAAAAGGCTATATTTGTTCAGTAAAGCTGTCTTGAAGTTTATGTTATCCTGTAGTAGCTGGCTATAAATGGATGAGTGTATTCAGAATGTGAAGGCAGCACTTGAAGTTTCCGAATGTATTTAGTTCTGTCTGTTGTGTCTTGGCATTTTTAGCATCAGTTACATGTCTTGGTGCAGAAACAGCTTCTTCACAACTGGTATGATTTGCTTGCCCAAACATGCACAGCGCTCAGGGACATGCATTTCAAACCACATACATATGATTTTTGTGCATAGTATCTTATCTGTAGTTGTCATTCACCTCACATACACTGGCAAGCACTGTTTTACTGCAGTAAGCCCAGTTCTTAAAGGACCAAGTTATAGGCTGCTTGCAACAGGTCCTTTCTGAAGCAATCAGTAAGTTTCTGTTCACTCTTTTATGTTTTCCACACTCAGCCGAGTAAAGAAATTGTTTCACTACCTACCAAGAGTGAATACTGGGATTATTTTAGGACTGACTTTATGTAAATCCCTGTGATACCTTTTCTGCTCGACTTTCCTTAACTTGCTGTTCTGATTGAACTATGCAAATAGTGAACCATCACCAACAACTTACTAGGAACATTTGGTGCCTATAAATATAATAAAGGTATTTCTCAAGGCTCCACACATTGCATTCTTCATATTTTCTGAAATGTACTGTTATGAAATTCAGTGTAGTTCAAGAGCTCTGGACAGTCAAACTTGTGTGAAATGTGCTGGAAATCCATTATAGATCTTACGTTTCAAACTGAATTTGGCTCCAGATTTGTAAATAATGTTTACATTATTTACAATGTAAATAATGTTTCCTGTGAAATCAGTGTGATGGGTGATGTAATAAATGATTTATTTTCCACCTTTGCCTCAACCAAGCTGGGAAAAGTTAATGCAAAAGGAAGGAAAGTAGATGAAATAGTTTCAAATCTGAAGACGTGATAGACCAGCTGAACTGTAACTCACGCAGTGATTTTCTGTATGTCTGAGCAATACCACTCACTGTTATTTGGGACCTAGAATTTTTCTAGAGTTAAATTATAGTGAATTTTGGACACTGTAAGGCAATCATGAGGATACAGTCCCTGCTGGGTGTTAGAATTTCAACAAATGGCAACCTAACATTATTAACTGTATATGTCACAAAATAATTGTTTTCTTTCTGGTTCCACAAAGAGTGTTAGCACCACAAAATAATTGTTTTCTTTCTGGTTCCACAAAGAGTGTTAGCACCTCCAGTGGAGACACTGGTTAGTTACTGAAGTATATAGACTTATGAGACTCTTACATGACATTTACACCAAACAGTTAGTAAGTGAAAAGTTAGTTATATCTCAAAAATTGAAGAAAACACAGGATACATTTAAAGTAATGTACTTAGATCAGTAAATGGCATTCTGTGCTTTAGTCTGTATGAGTGACAGAGCATTTACATTATAGCACTGTAGCAGGTGACAAGTGTATATATTTGTACATGAGACTGCTATAATTTTTTTATCCCTCAGCATAGTTTTGCTAGTTTGGCGATCTGTTAAAGCTCCTGATTTTGTAGACTTTCATATGCACTCATTTGGACAGATATAAGTCTAAGGGTTAAAATGAACACAAGTAAGGAGGGTATGTTGCTGTGGCTTTAACATGGAGTTTATGGAAGTTTTAAACCACTAGATTGCTTAGGATCGTCTCTCTTGAAGAACCATTCTCTGTTCTGAGAACCAGGAAAATCTCTGTGTAGGAGAAAAGCCGATCATGTTCAAAAGACATTGCTGAAATATGTGTATGTTAATAAATCAGTGCAAAATAACAGTGAGAAAGAGTTTATGATGCTAATGACAATCCTTTGCTGTCCTGCAGACAGACCAAAAGGTTCAGTCCAGACTTTTATGCTTAGGTGTAGCAGAAGTTTCATAAGAATGATTTTCTCTTACAGCATAATGAGGTATTTTAAAGCAAGTAGTTTACAAGAAAAACTCACTATAATTGCCTTTATTGTCTTTGGTTAGTTGGTTGGTTGATTTTCATTTCAGTGGAGTGTTAAGGACATTCAGCTTAACAACTAGGACTTGAGAAGGAAAAGTATTTTTCAAATCTGTTTTGTTTAGAGAATCAAGGCAGTAGAGCATGTTAGGGATCTCAGCCTTTTTCAGCCAACCTTGCATTTGCCCTGTTTAAGTCCACCGACTTAATCTGCTTTTTACAATTGTAGCAAGTAGAAATCTTTGCGCTTTGAGAATGGAGATACCAACTTGTCTATGCCCAGCACACCTCACAGTGCATCACAAGCTCATGGCTTATTCACTGCAACTGGGAATTATTTTGGTTAAACTCAGTTTTCTTATCATAAAGGTGCTAGTTCTTGAAGCTAAGGGCATAAACCAAGTGTTTTTATCTGGCAGGAAAGCAGGACAGTAACAAGGAAAGCAATCAGGATAGACCAAAGAGACAGAGCTCTGCACATTAAGGAGATATTTTTTAAAGCTTTTGTGAAGAATATCCTGTTTAAGTTGGCATACCTGTGACAGTAAGGCTGTGCACTGTCCTTAACAGAATTTTCTGTTTTCTATATTTCTTTTTTGTTCTAATAATCAGTTTTATTTTAGAAGCTACACAGCATAATTGATGTATCCCATAGTCCTTAAAAAGACCTGGTGTTTATATCTGGCAAAAAATGAAAAGTATGAAATGTGTCTGTGAAAGAAATGGTAATTTAAAACCAATTCAAACACAAGTATACAAAATATGTTTACACTTATACCATTGGACAGTCTCTGTTTTATGTAATTTGTGCAAAAAGTGGGTATTATGCATTGCTTTTTTTAATTTCCTTCAAGATATCTGGAATCATCAGCTTTGACAGCATCACTTCTCAGCTACTGCAGAAAGGTGTTATAGAGATGCCTCTTGCCAACTACTCATGAGAGCCATGCTGCAGAAGCCTCACACAGACATCTCTTGTGTGCAAAGGCAATCCTGAGTATTTTAGGGGCACCGTCTAGCTGCAAGCATACTACAAAGACTGTCAAGGGCTCCAGGACTACATGGGTGTGGTTATATAGTATGCAGTTCTGTCCAAATCTCTTAGTACTTGTGTATAGAGAGTCTGATGCACTTTGCGTTTTGTCAATGTTTGCAATAAATGTAATCATTCGACCCTCTTTTGCCTTCTGCAGAAGTTAAAGTTCTGGACGAGTTTCTGTTTGCCTCATTGGCTATTCTGGGTTTAATTTGCCAGCTGAAATATCAATGAAACTCAAGAGGAGGCATTTTTTTAATCCAGTTCATGAATAACAAGAATAGGGCAAACAAGCGACAATTGACCCTGTGTGTTACTAAATGTTAAATTTTTAAAATATGTTTCAGGTCACAGTTCCCAGTAATGCTGTGTAATCGAATCCAGTTATGGAACTGTAGCTGTGCATAAAATAGCTGACACTTTAAACTGGACCAGAAGCTCTGGTAGCACATCCTTGGCAACGTTACTAAGCAGGAAGAAAATGATCTGTAGCTCGGCATTAATATGTCATTGTTTGTACAGGACAGCTGAAGCACAGGAAGGAGATGTTGAGAAATTATACCTGACCCTGATTAGGCAGGTTATGATATGAGTGACATCCACACAACTTGTTGGCAGACTAACATAACATGCCTTATTGTTCCATCCTATGAACACATATATAATTTAGCAGTCATTGATCAAAATAGAAAAGAGACATAAAATCAGTGACATTGAAGAGTTTTTCTCCTGTGCAAGACATTTGAAAGGAAATCTGTGCTATCCATCTCTATCAGAGTTGTGCACAGAAAAGACTGATTTAGGCAGCATATAGCTGCTTCCTGAACAGCTCTGGTTTGATTCGTCCAGGTATTTTTATTGCAACTTTTACAATAGATCTGAATTACATTTTTATTTTCAAGACAAAGGATGTAATGAAGACATCAATTTCAGATTTTGTTATTTGCATTCATCTTGGAAGCAAAATTCTCAGGTTTAGATTGAATTAGCCACAATGATATTTACACAGAAATCTGTTGTTCGTGACTGATTTTTATGTTCAGAAATCAGTCATAGCTCTGAGAAGGAGAGATGGGTCCTAAGTTGCATCCATATACCAAATGGGTGAAGAAACTGCAAATTAAAGGCATAAAAATATGCCCTGGGCTACCATGAGTTGGTATCTTACATTGGTATTG